TATCATTTTCATTAACACACATGTAAATATGACGATTGTTAGCCAATTTCATAAACTTGAGGTTCTTGGCCGCTACGGTGGAAATGGAGTTTTCAGGACTGTGGGGGAGGGAAGCAACGGTGGCAAATGAAGGCATTTTAACGTTGTTTCGGGCTATTGTAAAACCCTTGAGAGAGACGGATGACAGGGTATAGAGGAAAGAATTAACGGTTAGAATTGGAGGGCCACATGGGCTTTTGTGGAGCAGCTTCTGCATATAAAAAAAGTTTGGTCGGGCGGACCAAGCCAATGCTATTTAATAAGACTCGATGCCTCGTGAGAAGTTATTTCATTATATAGAACCAAAATCATAAATAAATATAGTAGCTATTAATTATAATATTCATTAATGGTAACCTATTAAATATAATAACCTTTCTTATATTCAAGTTTTCATTGTATTCCACTCTATTCAATCTGCCAATTTTAAAAGAGTTGAGAACAAAAACTAGACAAACAACAATTGGGATATGTCCGTTACTTCGCTTAAAGATGAATAATGCAATTTTTCCAAAAATAAAAAGGTCTTGAACTAAAAAAGGAAAAAAAAAAAATTGAAATAATTTGAACTAGTTAACAAGCAAGTGTTGAATTAAGACAAAATTCAGTTATTTTAGGCAATTCAAAGAAAAGTAACAAAATGAGTAAAAAAAAAAAAAATTAGCTGAGATTTATGACAACTATCAATACTTGAACATCTTAATTTGAAAATTACAAAAACCATCCAATGTAATTTTTTCCATTTTAACATTGTATCTTGTGCGAAAAACATTACACACTTACAGATTCAATGTTGGACAAAATTATGGATAATGCTAGAGGTACATAAGCATCTACATAAGGGTGTTCATAATGTTGATGTAGCGATCATCCGATCATTGATGTGTAAGTGTCAGATTTGAATTAAAGGTGGAATCACATTCACATGCTGCATCAATATTATGGACACCTTTATGTAGATGCTTATGTACCTCTAACATTATCCCAAAATTATAAGTTCCCTTATCCATTTATAGTCACTTGGTTGCATTGCACTCGAAATTGATAAAACATAAATTATGTAAAGGGGACAAATTTTTTGTTTTGCACTGAGCTTATTCGTAGAAGAAAAATAGAAACAAATAAATGGGCCAAGGCTGCTTCCTATCTTCGCCTCTAATTAAGTCGATAATCATGAGCAAACATCAGTTTGTAATTTTAGCTCTACGTGCACTCGTGATATGAGTATGTTGAATTAGGCTGTCATAGCTCGGATTAGCTCAAGCTCAATCAGTCTTTGAAATAAACATTGTACCCGTTTTTAGAAAACTGTGAATCTAATAAAATATGTGATTAAAATTTAGTTGTTGACTTTAACTTAATCAACGTTTAGTTGAATGAAACACGGAATATAAAGTATTGATTGTAGAGCTTTTTATTTTTTTTTAAACACACTTAAAAATATGGGTCATCGGGTTTTAAAATATTAAATACTACAACGTGGAAGTCAAAAACTTAAAGAACTAAGCTCATTTGTCAGAAAGAGTTTGACACTCTACTTGATCAACACTCACATGCGCGTGTAGGGGTGGTAACAAGCCAATATTTGAAGTTGGGACTCGACTCGAGTAAAATGGGTTCTAGCTTTTTTTGGCCCGATCCGAGTAAAAGCTCGGGAAAAAAAATTGAGGCTCGACTCGAGCTTCGGCTCTGTTCTACAAAGCCTTGGGCCGGATTTTTTCAGATCGAGCCACGAGATGTCCAAGTCGACGAGTCAAATTGATATCCCTAAGCGCGTGAGATGCATGGGAACAAAAAAATTCAAAATAGTGCTCCCTATTATGAGTGTATTGTCATGGAGGATGACAAATCCTCGTGGCAGCAGCGTGGTTCAAACCTAAAAATTAAAAAAGGGTGACTACCGCAAACTTACAAAAGATTAATCTAGAAGACTACAAGTCAAGAAGTTGGCCGTAATCCAATTTACAATCTTGACTAAAGTTGGACAAAATAGGATAATCCAATCATATTCCATGATTTTGTTGGATATTTTTATTTTGATTTTCAGTTTGTTAACTGTATATATTTTAACTTATTGCAATTAATCAACATATTTATCTAATTAAACTTCATTTGGTGACTACATAATCGAATTAGATGGTGCAACAAACTCCATTTACATCTCTATGCATACTTAACAAAAGCGAATTCACGTCAATTTAGACTATCATAACATCAATTTATACTAACCTGACACGATCTATTTTACACCTCTATATATCAGTGTTCTAAAAGGACCGCTAAGGCGTGATGCACAGCGAAAATGTCAAGCCAAGTGACTTGACACCTTATTTAGCGGTCAACGGCAATCTTTCACCGCTAATGAGCGCCTTATGTCTTTGTTTTTAATTTTTTAATTATTTTTTACAATTCTTTTAAGTTAAAAACTTAAAAGTTGATTTACATTTGAAACCTATCTTTTTGTTGGAAACTTTTTAAAAAATGTATAAAATTCTTATAAATCCATTTTAGATGTTTGGGAGTTATTATTTTTAATTATTAAATGATTTGTTGATTGAATAAAAATTAAAATAATATTAAAATAAGAAAACGTTTTTCTACGTTTTTTTACGCTTTTGTATCACCTAAGTTCGCCTAGCTCATATCTCGACCTCCAAGTATCACCATGCATTACATTTTTCATAACATTATTATATACATCTAGTAAAATAAAAGCACGTTTCAAATTCATTTCTTACTTTTGAAATAATGTTGTCAAACACGGTTAGGACCAAATTTTAATCTAAATTAAAGTCAAACAATTAATATCGACAGCATCTTTCACGTGTTCCACATCTTTTCAATCACACATTTCAAAAACTTCTTTCGCAATCAACTTAAAATCTGATTTTAATTTACACCAAATACCCTCTTAATATTTGTTTGTATTAATATCACAAAATTTGTTAAAACACTAATTAAAAGTCAACAAATCAGTAGGAGACACATCACACAAGGAACAAATGTGGGGTCCAAGCATATGCCTCACGGAGGGCCCCACTATGTAGCCCAAGCACCACGCTAGTAACCTAAAAGGATTGATTTCGGCCTATACGCGTTTTTACTTGAGTCTTTGGTCAAACAAATTCCATGATTTCCTTTCTTGACCCAACAAATACGATGAGAACGAACGAGAACCAAACGTTATGAATTAATATAACATTTGTGCACCCCTATAAAAAATAAATAAAGAAAAATTGCACTATTTGATCTCAATCTTTGTAAAATATAATAAATTTACCATCAATTTTTTATAGCAGCTCCCCACATTTCAGTTATGTAGCAAAACTCGTAATTCTCTCTATTTTGACCACGAAAGGATGGATTTTTCCCTTCTCTTAAAATAAATGAAAAAGGAAAGTAGTAAAACCACAAAAATAAGCAAAAATTGCGAACACAATTACATAAAAAGTACAAATAAATCTCACTTAGTCATTGTTTGCCCCCATTTTAGAGAATTTTTAAATTTTGGAATAGTGATTGATGAGAGAATATGTGATTGAAAAATAATGAAAGGTTTTAGATTTGTGTGTAATATTATTTTAGTTGGAGAATATGTGGTTAAAATTAAAAAAGAGAAATTTTAATGGAGCCAAACAAGGGGTTAGTACAATTAATACATACAAATAAATGAATTTAGGAAGAAAAAAGTAGACCTTGTTTGGCAGGGATTAAAATCAAAATTTTAATAGATTTTGATGAAATATGTGATTGAAAAATTGAATATATTATTAAAATTATTTATTCACTTTGATTTACACTAAAACCTTGATTTTAATCCATACAAAACATTGTCTCAATCTTCCTCAACCAAGTTCACTCACCACCCCAATCCAACCTAATACATATGTCCACTTGCTTTTCTTAGTGTGTGCACTTTGAATGCCATTATTAAGCAGAAAAAGTATTTCTAAATTGTATTTTCTAGTCATTAATTAGTCTAATTTTTCACGTCGGAAATATTGTCAATCCAATAATTTAACACTCGTCTGGAGTGACTTTTCTTAAAGATAAGCTCCGAAATTTACGACTTTAATTATCTTCTTTGAATGTGGTAGGTCTATATTAGAAACAAGCAACACATTTGTTATTTATCTTTAAGATAATCAAATCTCTTCCATTTAATTTCTCTAGTGTGAAAATTAACTTTCTAATCTTGAGGTAATTTGCAAAGTTGTTAATGTGATGAAGGACTTGTTTCACCATTTGCAAACTTACCGAGGGACTTTCAACAAGACACACTAAACTAGAAGGAGCTATCTGAAATTATTCAAAAACAAATGAGGGTAGAAATGTCATTTTAGAAAATGGTAGCAACCGGATAATGCCATTACTTTCCCGGGAGAAGGATTCCAATTCTCTCTCTCAAGTCTCTGTTACTGGACGATCAAATATCTTTCTGAAATTTGGAAACCCAATTTTTGCTGCAGAAGAAGACCGTTGGAACCTACCATAATCGAAACGACACGGCAATTACAAAACATTTAATGGGGGCAAAAGCATTTATTTCCTCCCCAACAACATAAGCTGTGCCTCCTTTAATGCCTCCATAAATATTGTTTCTTAACTCAAGCTCGTCATATTCATCATGCTTTTTCTCTATCTTTAATAGGTTCACTCATTTCCCCCCTTTTTTTTTCCTGTTGCAGTAAACTTAGAGCTGTTTAGATTTTTCCCCCGTTGCAGCAATGATTTTTCATCAAATGATCATTTGCCTAGTTTTTTCAATTTTGTTTGTTCTATCCAGTGGACTAAGTAATAGTTCGATTCATTGTAATCAAACTTGTGGTGTGGGGGATAAAAATCAAACAGTGCCATACCCGTTTGGGTTCTCCGATGGTTGCGGGATCAAGTTGAGTTGTACCAGTGGGAATATCCAAATAGGTGGTTTTCTAGTCAAGAACGTGACATCAGATAATATCATGGTCAATGTTCCGGTGAAGTGCAACCGCTCGATCGAAGAACTCTCCAAACTCTTCAGCCGGAACTACGCTATGACGAATCGAAATGGTCTTCTGTTGCAGAATTGCAGCTCGCATGTAGGAGATTGTGTGATTCGTAGCACCATGGTGAAGTACCATTTTTCCTTTGACGAGTGCGATTCCCCGCCGGAAAATATAAGTTGTTATTCGGGGGGCACTGATGTCGGCGCGGATTTTTTAAATTATAGAATAGTGAAGGAAAGAGTGAATTGTAGGATTTTGTTTACGGCAATTGCGATGGATTTGAATGAAAATGGTAATAATATCAATGGTCCAAGTGGAAGCTCCACCGTGGAGTTGAATTTGCAGCAGGCGGAGCTGGGTTGGTGGCTGGAGGGGTTTTGTAATAGTAGTAGTTGTCATCCAAAAGCAAACTGTAAAAATATTGTCAATGGAAACACGAAGGGGTTTCGTTGCAAGTGTAATCCAGGGTATGCCGGCGATGGTTTCAGAGGCTTCGGTGCTAAAGGTTGCTGGAAAGGTTAGTTCCATATCTTTTTCGAATTAACTTTTATATTTGGTATTTCAAATTTTTTTTTATGTGCATATATTTAGATTTAATGCTTGAACATTATTAATAAATCTTGAATGTTTTTGTGAAGAAGAATTGATGAAAAGGTTGATCTAATGGAAATATAAATATTTATACTCTGAGCTACGATATAGTCTTAAATATTGTAGTAGATGACAAAAAAGATTACTTTTCAGGTTCCTTCCTGGAATTTCATGGTTGACGAAGTGGCATTTGGTAAATTACGACGCCTTAGAAATTTTGTCTGACAGTTGTATTGTTTATTGGTGATTTTAATCCATGACTCGATATTAAAAAAAAATTAGAAAAAGTTTGACTTTGGAATTAATGCATGATGTTTATGCGCAAAATATAATTATGATTTGTTAATGAGGTTTAAAAGTTACATGCTTTCTTAGCTTTACAAATTGCTTGTTGAACATATTAAAGGTCAACGTCTATGGTATTGAAACCCATATTATAATGACTAATATGAGAGGGAGCACATGCTTATCCGGAAATCTGGAAGGATTTATATTAATGTGCAAAAGTCAGAGGAAAGAGAAGACATTGATTACCGAAAGAGATCATATTATAGTCTTGATTTAATGATGGATCATATGAGCGTAAGATTGAGTAATGACTGGTTATCTTTATGTACTCGGAAACTTAACATGAGAGCTTCTGAAGTTGGCAGGTCGTATTGTTGGTGTATCATTTAGCTTATCTCCTCCAAACCAAAAATAAGTACTTAACCATGCTCTATTAATGAACCTGGAACCGTATTGTTTATAGAATTACCATAGTTTTTCCCTTACCCATGCTAATGTGGGAACTGGTAAGGTGATCCTGAGTTGAGTGTGCCAGTGGCATATTTTAAAATAACTTATTCTAAGATTGAGTAAACTGAGAGATGTTATTTCTACTTAAATGCTTTCGATTAGGGAAAAAGGTATAAGCTTTTTTATTTTACGAAGTTCTTGGAAGAATCCCATGTCACAAGTCCACATGATTGACTAGCAGTGTCCGTATTACATGTTTTGATTGACTACAGGCTGCACCGAGTGTAAAACCTGCATTTTACTGTAGTCGATCCAGGTTCGTGCCTCTGGCATACATATAAGGCAAAGCTCTATAAAACTGTGCAATCAATCATCTGAGACCTGCTTCGCAACTTCAATTCTGAATACTTAACATGCATCCTACTGATTTCTTGTTTCCTTTGTTGATGCTATGTATCAGGAACTTGCAACTTTTCAAAGTACATGTCTGGTGGATGTGGCAGAACTAGAATAGGCATTCTCATTGGAGGTTCTTCTTTTCCCTGGACTTTTATTTATGCAATCTTGATTGCATCTTCTGGGTCCTCATAATGTTGATCTCCTATAGTTTTAGAAGACACCAACTACGTTGTTCCCCAAGTTCTATCAGTATCTCTTTCCTGCAGTATTTGCTTGTTTTGCTTCTAGTCATGTTCCTTAACTACATCAAAATAATTTATGTGGTAAATGTGGGTGCTTCTCTTTGCTTTCTCGTACTTAATCCCTGACGCATGTGTTTCTGGGGCTGTTGAATTTACATGGTTGTTTGAAACTCAGTCAATTCTAAGTCCCATAATTTGCTGAAATTATGTGTGATTTAGTTTGGAATATTTTGATGCCGTAGCTTGCCTTGTTTTTTCTTGTTATCCAGTCATCAGTTCTACACAAGATAAAAATGATTTCCTCACCCATGCTTTCAGCTTTGTGATTCTAGTTTTGGTGCAAAATCATTTCTTTATTCATTTCTAAGTTTTTTTATTCAAACAACTGCTTTGCTGTTGTTTCTGGTGATATTAATTTCTGCTACAACATTTACTGCCCAAACGATTTGGATATCAAATTTTCTCTGAACTTGTCTAGGTAAATAACATTGGAGTAAATTCACTATTTACTAAATCATGCTTAAAAAAATTTACTTAGTTGAACTCAAAATCAAAGATACTTACATGGGCAGTGGCAAATTTGGCGGGTTTTCTTGATCATTTACATGCCTCTTTAAATAACTCTCATTACGAAATGATAGAACTTTAAAGATTCTTCCTCGCTTAACAATGTCCATTCTTTTCTATTTGAAGGAATTGTTGGTGGAGCTTCGTTGGTGGTTATTTTGGCTCTTGTCTGCTATTGCATAAAGAGACACACTAGATCTTTGAAGAGTCAAACAAGTGCAAAGCGTCTGCTTTGCGAAGCTACAGGCAGAACCAGTTTCCCATTCTATCCTTATAAAGAAATTGAGAAAGCCACAAATAGCTTTTCCGAAAACCAGAGGTTGGGAACGGGAGCCTATGGCACAGTTTATGCTGGAAAGCTCTACAATGATGAGTGGGTTGCGATTAAGAAAATAAGACATCGAGATCGCGACAGCATTGAACAAGTAATGAATGAAATCAAGCTTCTGTCCTCTGTGAGTCATCCAAATTTAGTTCGCCTCTTAGGCTGTTGCATCGATAATGATGAACAGATACTTGTTTACGAGTATATGCCAAATGGTACTCTATCTCAGCATCTGCAAAGAGAAAGAGGTTCTGTGCTACCATGGACAGTACGCCTCACTATTGCCAATGAAACAGCTCATGCAATCGCTCATCTTCACTCAGCAATGGATCCTCCAATTTACCACAGAGACATCAAATCGAGTAATATATTATTAGATTATAATTTCAACTCAAAAGTTGCAGACTTTGGTCTTTCAAGATTTGGCATGACAGATGATTCCCACATTTCCACAGCACCTCAAGGGACTCCTGGCTATGTAGATCCTCAATACCATCAAAACTTCCATCTTTCAGATAAAAGTGATGTTTACAGTTTCGGGGTGGTTCTGGTAGAAATCATCACAGCAAAGAAAGCAGTTGATTTTTCCCGACCTCACTGTGAGATTAATTTGGCTGCACTTGCACTTGATAGGATTGGGAAAGGTCAAGTCGATGAGATTATAGATCCATTTCTCGAGCCAAATAGGGATGCTTGGACTCTCTCTTCTGTACACAAAGTGGCCGAGCTCGCTTTTAGATGCCTTTCTTTTCACAGGGACATGAGACCTTCAATGATGGAGGTGGCAGATGAACTAGACCAGATCAAGCTTAGTGGTTGGGCACCATTGGACGAGATTATATGTATGGGATCTTCAGTGGCATCTTCTTGTTCTTCACCATACCTTGGAAGTGAGAAGTCACTAAATACTATGACAAATAAAAAGTCCGGGATAGGAAGTAGGAGACTGGTGGTTTCACAGAGGGCTGGGGATGTCCTGCCTTCGATGGAGGAGGCAAAGGACAATTCACCTGTTTCTGTACAGGATCCTTGGTTAAGTGAACAGAGCTCGCCATCATCGAACTGCTTACTAGGTAGTAGAGTTCGGTGACTCAAGAACTCGTTCTTTTGACAATTATGAAACTATAATTATAAGTACATCTTGTGGATATAATAGTGGCAGTCTAAGTTTTGTGTTACTTTTTATGCACAAGGAGGTGTATTTCATATTTCTGCCGAGAGATTTTTAAGTATTAGCTGATAGACATAAATGTTATATATAAAGGCCCTTCACACTTTTAAACTATAATTCATCTCTTTATGCAATAGACATTTGTGTTTTTATGTCTCTCCCCAAATACTATTAGTAAGCTCTGTAAAGTTTATGGTTGGTTTGATGAAGTGGGTAATAGCACTTACGGAAACAGAAACTTAAATCTTGTCCGTTATATTGTTGACTCCACTAATACATACCTAACATTCCTTTAGAGACGACAACATAAATGTGGATTAAGCGGAAAACTTTCATTTTAGCTGTCTCCATGGTAATCTCGTGTTTTTTCACCAGACACGACTTCTTGTTCTTTTAGTTTAAGCATGATAGGTGGAACGAGAATCGAATTTGTCTTTGTACCTTTTTGAGGTTAACATTAACATTGGTAGCAAAAAGCATTGCAGCCTAAATTGCAATAAAACGAATAAAAATTTTGATTAGTTGAGCGTTGTGTTAATAAAGTTAATTCAGGAGTCAAATGACGCTTGATTGTAAAATGCATAGAAATTATTTTTGTTATTGCAATTGTATTTGGTATAAAATCAGGGTAGATAAATGAGGAAACAATGACTTTGCTTGTTTATGTAACCACCACAATGATTTCGCTTGATAAGTACTACAGTATTAGAGAGATTATTTATTGAATGCCCAATGAATTCCAAATCAAAATCTTGTCAATTACAGGACATTCCAGCAGTGTATGAATCATGGAGTGTCATGGAAGTTGCATATATACACATTTTCCCAACACTAGATGCACTATCCATGACTTCTTGGATCAACAACTTGATGCGCTTTCCGTGCTTCTGCACTTGAATATTGTCCCACAACACGAGCATGAGGTACAGTCATTTCTCCCCGAGCAAGGGCCTCAACATTCTCAAGAAAGTATTGCCTAGGGAGGCGACCCACAACATTGCCCTCTTCATTCCCATTTTTGTCCAGGAATGCAAAATGGGGGATACCCTCAACACCAAACTCGTCAAGTTCTTGTTCCCACTTTGTGTTATCAACGTTCAGCATAACAAAATTAACTCGGTCCCTGAATTGCAAAATTAATGTTATTGATAAAAATTAATAAAGCAACTAAATAACCTGTGCCACAACTGCCAATTAAGTAAGAACGATGCATCACAGAACAATCAAATATTTCTCGAGATTATATTTTGAGGAACAGGGGAAATCATGAGACTGAAACAAATTATCATCTGGGTAAATTATAATGGCAAGCCAGCTGCTAATTTCTAGGATTTCAACAAGGCGCCTCAAGCATTTGTACAATATATTGCACACCATAGCATAAAATTGCAGGAGTGAAAGTTTCATTTGAAAACAAGATAAAAACAAACCACATAAATGTTAAATGCTCATTCCAGACACCTCAAGATAAAGATGGAGATGGGGACAAAACTCACGCGAATATACTGTAAGGGAATGTTCACTTCTATTGCCTCACACCATTCTTTTTTTTATTCAAATATCCTCTTTCCACCTTTCAATAGTCATTTCATGCATGTCTATCATGTTAGTGTGCATTTCAACAGTCTGGAATGCAATTCAGATGATGAATACGGATTCAGAGATACAATAGAAACATTCATGACAAATTTCCTTTTTCCTTATGTAATGCGAGAAGAGAACAAAAACTAAAGTGACCAGAAATATTCATTACATGCGACTTAATTAAACCATAAATCTGAAAAGAACTGCTCAGAGCTTGAACTCAAGTCCTACAGCCAAAATGAACCCAATTGAAATTAGGAGATTACAATATACAAAACCTCTTAGTTTGCATTTATGTACGTGCAACCATTTAATCATTTTTGTGCCGCATGTGTAAGAGCTGTCATAGCCAGTTAATTGAACTATCTGAAATGTCACACTGTTTTTACATAACTGTTTCAAATATAGACAGAATAAAAATAAACATTACAAGGCAAGGCTCAAGTATCACTAAAAACTTACTTGTACTTCTGCTCCACCTTGTAGACATCAGGAGCTAATTCTCGACATACTTCACACCAATCTGCATAGAACTCCACAACAGTAGGCTTCCCATTAGAAAGAGCCTACACAACGAAGAAAAAGCAAAGAAAGAACAATGAAGAATTGATGGTACATAAAGTGATTCAATACTATGAGGAGCTTGAAGATTCATAAAACGGAAACACATAATTAAAAAACCTTATTACTGAAAAAAAGCAGTTCTTAGCCTATTTGGCTCATGTTTATAAACTGTTTATCAATGCTCATGCTACATTTTATCCACACATTTCAAGGGACCCATAAGCCCACTCATCCACCACTCATTTCTATCTATTTATAATTAACCGTTTATAAACCCTTACCATTTTCCAAACATGCTTTTAGTGACATTTAAATAAATAATTAACGAAAAGGCCTTTGCCTACGAGTCACTAATGTTCTCATGGAAAATATAGCTGCAATTTAATAAACATGATCGAATTTACGAAATTTCATGATAGTTCTCAAGAAAAGAGATACTATTCCCGTGTGTCATTGTAAATCAAGATAACCAAGCTTTTATTCATTTTCCGATAACTAGCATCTATAATGTATCTTATGATGTGAAAATGTTGCTACATGGAGTGTTAAAACTTTAATGAACCTATTTGAACTCTTTCAAGAAAGATTATTTAATTGCTTATATGCTCATATAACGAGCAAACCTCTTCATATGGTAATGCAGCAACAGAGAGGTCCTTCAAAGACACACCAAAGTCCAACCGAGCTGACAAGAAAAGTCCGAATGCTGCAAGTACAGAAACCACAGCTATCTGCGTATTCAATTTCTTGTCCGGATACTCCGGAAATCCAGCACCTACTGATGAAGTAGCTGTTTCTTTACTGGAGTTAGCTGTGTCACCGTCATTTTCAGATTCAGGATCTACTAACACCTTTTCCTGCACTAATCGCACACATATTAGGCATAGAAACAACCAAACCAATATATCAGAACCGATGCTAAAACTCTGCAATAATTTCAAGCAGGCCGAAGGCTAAACTTCAGTTCAATTCCAGTGCATCTCAAGTTAAAACTCGATTCCGAGCTCAAATTATCCATACAAACTATTTAGGCTTGTCAAGAACAAAGGTTAACAAAAAACTAAATGAAATTATAGCAATAGCTCGACTACTGAAATTGATACAAAAGAAAAACGACATTACACTATCGACAACAAATTACAATATTTCATTGAAGAAAGTGATAATCAATTAGGGGGAATTAACTAGTATACCTCCGTTGTACTGGAGTCAACTGAACTGGGTTTGCTGTGGCAGAAAATTCTGTGAAGCCTGCGAGTCTTTTTCCGCGATTGGAGAGAGAAATTCAAGAAAAGAGGAGATTGATGGTGGAAACGGAGAAAATAGGGGCGGAGTCTGGGGAGGCCGACGGCGCTGTAAGTTGTAGCCACCCAAGCCATGGCGGCGAAGTAGGGACGGTTTTCTTTGTGGAGCAAACAATTCAACGTATAACTAACTTAGCGGATACGGATTATTTGAACAAGATATTTCTTTTTCTTTTTTCTTTAGTACCTTTTAGGGTGGGCGCGCGTCGGTTCGGTTCGATTTTTTTCGATTCCAGAAATTTCCGAGTATTTAGTAAATGGAACCGTCAGTTCCAAATATAATTTTGGAACCGTTCGGTTTCGGTTCGGTTCGATTCTGTTCGGTTCCGTTCGATTCCGTACTATAATTAAATTTTTTAACATTTAAAATAATACTACATAAATACACCTGAAAGTGAATATCAATATTAATAACAAAAAGTAGATACAAATACCAAGTTCAATCTTAACTTTTACAAATTAACGTAATCTAATTTAATAACATATAAATAATAAGTTGTCAAATACAAATACCAAAAAGTAAATATTACTAATAAAACTTCGATATTCATATCAATAATTCATTTGTTTCAAACCTTCAAATCTACATAAAAGTGAAATATAAATTAGAAGTCACAAAGATAAAATATTTTAAAGTATTGATAATACTTACCAACTATTTAATGTAATCATCAGTTGGTTGACTTTCCATACTAATTATTAAGAAACTATATAAGAAAAAATTGAAAAATACACAACTAACAAATATAAATAAACTCTAAATTGTTCAACTAATAAGATATAATAAAGAAAAAAATTATTAATTTGTTTAGAAAAAATAAAAGAAATTGATTTATCCAATATATAAAAAAAAATTCGGTTCTTATTCGGTTCTTCGGTTCTTGGTCGAGAACCGAGAACCGAACCAAACTATTCGGTTTTCAATTCGAATACCCGTTCGGGTATTTCATTTTAAAAAACCCGCTCGATTCGATTCAGTTCGGTTCGGACATTTTGCCCAACCCTAGTACCTTTGACTCGCTAGGAAAGCGGGTTATCCACTCACTGCAATGTGAACTAAAATCGCGTTTTTATTTGTCCACTGCAATTAAGGCAATTTTGATTTAGTTAAGGTTTTGTTTGGGTGCGGATTGAGATCGAATATTTAGTAGATTTTAATAAATATAAGTGAAATATATGATTAAAAGGTTATGAATCGCATTAAAAGTATTTTTAAAATTAAAATTGTAATTTAATTTAAAATTTTGATTAATTTTTAATCTACACCAATCGTGAGCTAAATGTATCGATGTATTATCCATTTGGTCGACGCTTAAATTTGAATGAAATACTATTAGCACTAGGTAGCAATTATTCGAGTCATTTGCATTTTGACGAAAATTGAACAAAATCATCAATAATTTCACCATTCAAACATAATACAATCAAAATATTAATTTAATTGCTTCATGATTTCTTGGCTTCTGGACCTATAATCCCATTCACTATACCGGTGGCAATCAAAATTCCAACCGCCTCCGCTCCCGCCACCGCTCCCGCCTGTGCCAGCCCACCAAAGCTCGCCGCCGTCGTAATCTCCTTCTCCGCCACCTCTATCCCCTTCTCTGCCGCTTCTACTCCCTTCTCTGCCGCTTCTATTCCTTTCTCTGCAGCCACGATTCCCTTGTCAGCCGTCTCGAATCCTTCCTTCACCAGCTCCTTTACTTCCTTCTCCGCCTTCTGGAGTCCTTGCCTCAGTCCGAACAGCGGTATGTCCACTGCATTTGATGGCTTTTGCAGTGCATTCAGTGCCGTCGTAGCGGTTAGGAGCAGCAAGCAATTTCTACGGCTTGGAAGCGCCACCGATGCATGTCTATTAGTGTGCGCCACGCGGGGATCAGGGTGCGAATTGCGCACTCGACGGATTGGAAGAGCTTGTGCTAGTACAGTGGAAGCCATGGTTTCTCTCAGCCAACAGTGAAACTAATCCTCTGAACTCAAAATAATTGATTTGTGTGGCCAGGCATTTTCGAATTAACATAGGAAAAAGACAGAAATCCCCACAAGAAAAGAAATAGGAAGAAAAATAAAAATAAGGGCGCATTGGATCGTACGTATATAATTTGTAAGGAAGGAAAATAAATTATTTGAATTGTCTAAAATTTATTTGTACGAAAATTATTAATTAAACTTGTTTGATTGATTTAGTTTTCAACCTAAAAAATATTATATTTGTCATCTCTTATTGGTGTGTAGATGAGAGAGAATGGGTAAGTAAGAGAGATAGAATTGTCTGGACATAAAAATCACCAATTTTTAAAGAAAATATTATCTTTCTTTTGGAAGAAAATACGATCACATAATTAAAAGTTGGAAAATATTTTCTATTGAAAAAATTATCAATCAAATATCCTAAAAATAGGAATTTGGTGAAAAAAATGACATTTTCTATGAAAAATAAAGTGGGAGTCTCTCGTTTTTTAAATTGTGTTACTAGATTCTCAGTTTCTTTTCACAAGCCCAGTATAAACCATGAAAGACATCGAGATTTGATTTCATTATTTACTGTATACTTGTTGCTTATAAATGATTTAAATTATAAATAGATAGAAATAAATGATGGATAAATTCATTGTAATTGTGGATATCGCAAAAATGTGAATAAAGATCAATGTTTTAAAATGCGAAATGCGTGAATGTCAAGGCTTACAAGTTAAGAGGTATTAAGATGATGAGTATATTTCAAAATTTAGAATAGGATAGGCACATGGATAGAAATTCAGATGCAATATAAGGAACTTGTTGGGGAGGGATTAAAATCAGATTAAAATTGAAAATATAGCTGTTGGAGTTTACTTTTATTAGACGAGTGGGATCCAATAACGGCTATATTTTCAATTTGAATTGGATTTTAATCCTTCCCAAACAAGCCCAAGATGTCATGTCTTTTAGCACCATTCAATATGATCATTAGATATCACGAGCTTCTAATGGTTTGTATCATTCAATTCGTGACCATCTTTGAAGATTCATCTCCTTATCATGTAGCTATGTATTAGCATGCTAATGTTCAATCATCTCATCTAATGATTCAATTGAACCAGCAAGACCTTTCATCATGTCTAATCGTCAATTACCAATACGTGTGCATTATACTGATTGTTTACCTCTGCATCATCACGACTTTGGTATCTATTCACAAAAACTCGAGAGCTCATTCTGCGTACCTCCAAAACAACCAATATGAGCACGACATGTACTGGTGGTGAACACTATGCTTATCTAGTAGCATTGTTTCTTCCACAAAATTACAATTTAAGAGAGTGGAATTCTATATAAACAAGCTTTTCAAAGGGGAATTTGTGTCGATAAGGAGAATGAGGACACTATGAAAACTTTTGGCGCATAATTCTAATTCTACCAAACATGTTTTTAAGCCATTTAATGATACAACATTAATCAGTTCACATCATATAAGGTTTAGCAACTAATTAGCATTTTAATTAAGTACAATACCCGTTGATTACTGTTCCGTGAAATTTTCCGAAAAAATAATGCTATTTGCAATGAAAACTACCGATAGTCTTCCTATGTGGCATATATGTGGCGGTTTGTGATTTGACGCATTACTTGTGCATCAAATCATAAACTGCCACATATATGCTCCGTAGGAAGACTATCGGTAATTTTCACTACAAATAGCATTGCTCTTCCTAAAAACCAAATTCTCAACGTGAATTCGCACTGAGTGACACGATTTAGGGGTTCGTAAGGTTAGGTTTATGTTTTAGCTTCTACTTTTCGTAGAAAAGTTTTTTGAGCTCAGCTTACTCTAAACGCTCTTCTTCAAACATAACACTTTCATAAAAAATTATCTAAATATGTTGAAAAGTAACCTTTTAATGTCAGAAACAATTTTTTAATTTCAGACCTAACAATATAGGATCCCTCCCTGCTTATTAATGGATGTCCTTGGAATCATGTTGATTAATGGTTGTCCTTGGAATTACATATTTGTATGATTCTGCCAGCACCTACAGATTAATTTTCTCAAACTTTCATGCGACAAACTTTCTTGTGATCTCGTCATCTAGACCATAACCACATTTTTGTTTTGAATTATCTGGATGCATGCTTGTATATAGGGATGTTCTCAAGCATATACTAACCAGTAACTAGTTAATTGGCTAAATTTATTTTTAAACTGCTTGAAGTACAGACATTTTTGTTTGTCATATCTATAAATTACGTGACATGTGCGTGACGGAAGGGGTTCAAATTGACCGACTCAACATCAATTATTTAATTGGATTGAGCCTATTATACTAAGCAACCTCGACAACCTCATATTGGGCTTAAACTTGGGGCCCATTTCACTAAACCCTCTCGACCCATTTCCACTTCTCTCTCTATACCCTAGCCAAATCCTCTCTTGCTCTCTCCTTATCTTTCGTCCGGCTGTTGATTTGATCGTTGGACCTTTTTCTCGACCAGTAGCCTTGCACCCTAACGGGGTGTTCCAGTGTGCAGGTGACGTCTACGTGGAGTGAAGTCGAGATTCTATTGGATCATTGTTTTGAGATCAACTCTGTTATTACTTTGGTTCTTGTCATCTAATAACCAAGAAATTCAGTTTGGATTCTCCGAGGAATAAAAACAAGCCCAAATTGAAAATAACTTTATCTACAAAACGATACTTTCAATGCCAAAATCTTGTTAATGCGACGAAATTGATCGATGATATTGAAGTGAATGGTATCCTATAAAATCTGAATAGATATGAGAAGTGAAAAATACATCAAAATTCGCAGGAAAAAATAAATATTGGGATCGAAGGAAAAGAAATCATCATGTGCTATAGAGTTGAATGCAAGAAATGTGGGAAGTATACATGGGGTGGGTGTGGGGATCACTTGAAAACCCTTTATGGCAGTATTGACAAGGGGAAACATTGCATGTGCCGATCTTGGCCTGGAGTTGTTATCCCATCTGAAAATCAAGAGGTAGCAACTCCATCTTCAACCACCACCACATCCACAGGTATACACGTACAAGAGTTGTGTTTTTGTAAATGTCATGTAAACCACGTTAAGAAAATTTCTGATATGCAGTATCAGACAGTATCATTTCTCTTACGAGGAGTTTATATATATTTTTCTTTCTAATTATTATTATGGTTTATTTGTTTATTTCTTGCAGATAAAACTACAGCTTGAAGATGGTTCGCTGATTCTGGTTAGCAGCTCAAGATTTGTGAAATAAATAAGGGTTTTGTTAAAATGCTGGGATTTTTGTTGTTTCTTTGAAAAATATTTTGCAGCGTGTATTTAGGTCAATATGCGTTGACCAACAAATAAATATTCAATTGCAAAATGTAACTCTACTTTGCCTTGTGCAGAGTTATTTTGTCACGGGGTTTGTGCTCTTTTGGCTCTTCTTTGTTACCATCTCTGTATTTTGTTCTTTCCAATTCACTACTTACCTTTAAAGCAATTAATTAATAATCCATATTAATTACACTAACATTGATTGAGCATATTTGGTTGAGTATTGTTATTCATCCCCAGTGAGGTTACAAACACAGTTTAGGTGGTTCTAAATGATAAATATTAACGCTACCAACGAAGGCTGATAAAGTAATCACTCCAATAAGTGTACAGATTCTCATCGTCAACGAGACTGTGTTTGTAACCCCAATAGGAATGAATAACATTACTCTATTTGGTTCAGCTTCAAAGGTTCACGTTAAAAAAAAAAAAATTAAAGTAACAAATGAGTAGAATCTTTATGTTGACTATCCTTCGTTTGCAAAGTAATCGACTATTGAGTTATATTTTGTCCGATTGTTTGTGATTTCAAATTTGTAAAAAAAAATAAAGATAATCCGCACAAGATTTATTGGTTCATGGCACACGTGTGACCAACTAAAACTATAATATTAGTATTTTATTTAAAAATTATGAAACAATATTTCATGTATTTAGAAGTGAATTATTGAGGGACATCATAGAATAATCAAATAAATAATTTGTGGTTGGTGAGTTAGAGAACCCATGATTGATGAACAAGGGTTGACCCTATGCAATCCTTGCAACTTAAAATAATCAAAAGTTATTTTTTAAAAAAAAAATAAAAAGAAAAGAAAGTAAAACAATGAATCTTTTTGGGTGTTTTGCAGACAAATGATGATGATAACAATCATAATAGCAACAACTCAATGTGTCTCATCAAATAAAGTCACAATTCCTTTATCCAACCAGGCCATTTCTTCTCCTCAATTCCTTCAAAAGGAGAGAGAAGATTCTGATCTGATTCAGAAAAAGAGAAAGGAAGAAAAATCATTCAAATTTCATTAACCATCATCTCCCACTCGCCTTTCTCGATTTCTTTTAAAAATACTCATCTGTGATTTTGTCAATTCTAGCTTCTTCTTTCAATCAATGCGTGCTACCAACTCCCTTCAAAAAACCCTTGATTTTCTACTATGATAATCATTCCATAAGACTTAATCGTAGAAAGTGTAGCTGATTTTCGTGCTAAGTCAAATCCCTTTTCCATGGGTCTGTTTTAATCCAACACAGCTAACGGGTTGTTTTTTAGTGTGGAAAAAAATGGCCTCCGAAAAATCCAGTTCCAAAGGCCAAGCATGGTGATTGAAAATCTTACTTCGTTTTGAATTTTTTCTAGACACAGATTTGGTTAATGTTTTTTGATAATTTTTTTTTTTGAAGGTTTTGCACTACAGGATTAACAAGTGATGTTAAAATCGAAGTAGATGACATGACTTTCCATCTGCACAAGGTCAGTTCTGGGTTTCACCTGAGTGTCATTAGTCTATGAATTAGCTAGTAATGTCGTTCTGTTTTGATTTTGATTGTTCTGTGAATTTCAGTTTCCTCTGATGTCAAAAAGTAGAAAACTTCACGAGCTGATAACAGAACAAGAGAAGAACCCAACAA